TGAGCGCTTGCTTGATTGACAGGGTATAAATACCCCGCTCTTTGCTAGATTGAACAGCAATGTTTCTTCTTTCTCTTCCTCCCCTTCACCAGTAGCCGTAACAGTATTTACTCACTTTTTCTCTTTCCTAGATATTTCCTTCCTCTTTCTTCATATCCTGGAGATCATACGCTCCCATCTCCCTACTTGAGCTTCTCTATACCACTCGCCAGAGCACCCTGTGCGTTATTTGATATACACTTCCCTCCACTACAATCGAAGGTACCCTTTGTTGGACCACAGGTCTGAGGCGGCGTTTGTTGAATTATTACAAGCTTTGAATTGAATACTGTATGTAACCGGAAAAGAAGATGTAAGGTGTATAGAAAAGTAAAAGAATAAGGATAGAGTATCAAATAAACTGCTGCGATTTTAGAAGCTAGAATGGTGGGTACATACTAAGCACTAGTGGCGTCGAAGAAGTCAAGGACCTTACCTAGGCCGTGAGGATCTAAGGACTACCGTAGTGCTTCTAGAATCCAAGAGTTTTACATAGGCGAGAGATCGATGGTAAACTTCTAATCTGACTCGGTGTTCTACCTAGGTATAGAGTAGCAGTCTTAGTAACACCCCGATAAATGTAGGTTGCATTGAGCTTAGCAAAATCGTGAGAGTAGGTGCGAAGATGATCAAAGAGGGCATGTATGTGAATGGCGCTTTGACTTCAAGATTAACCGATGCGGTTATGGAATTTGAGCTCGAAAAACATACTGCTGGAGCTTCAGCTGGGCCAGCTGGGCCAGATGTTGGTGGTTAAGGTGTCTATCCCAGCTGTCATACTGATTTTAAGTGGGGAATAAGTGACTTGAACGCGTGTTTTGCTTCTTTGATCTTACTATCACTAAGACTGCAAAAGCTTTGAAACTAAAGATTCAAGTATTTGAAGCTGAGGGGAATCTACTGATATCAAATGACACGTATAACTATCTTGGGTACCAAGATCAAGGCTATATAGCCTTGTGGTGAATGTATACATTCCCAGTGGATCCACATCCAGCAGCTCTACCTGGTGGCCTGAGGCGAAAAAGAATATGCCAAGACTTGTGGAAAATTCTAGTGTCCAGAGAATTTAATGGCTTCGATTTCCCTGGTTTTTCTAATTTTTTTCCCCTGCAAGCCACCCGTAGCTTCACTAAAATGGCAGCGCCCGGCCAAATCTCGGAGATCTTACATTTTATACATCTACTTCCTAGTCTAGATTTTTTTTTTTTTTCGTACATCCATGGATAACTGACTGCAGACAGGCCTGCAAATACCTTTGATCCCATGATTCGAGTGCCCGATGTGATAGCTCCGGTGATATCAGTCCATGGTCTTTGATGGCCCCATGTGGGCTGAGCCATTGGAACATCTTTCAAAGATAAGGATCTGGATATGGTCAGTTTAGGGCATTTAGAGCACTGGTCCACTACTCTCTCGGAGGGTGCTTGCTGGCTTCGCCGGTGGTCTGACTATCATTTGATTATATATCTGCAAAACACACTGATGCCTAGCTCGGAGGTGATTTCAAAGATATTCCCGAGACAAGTACAAAGGCAAATTATGTACGTTGACTTCGGCAGTTGCACCCTGATTTTTGCTTTGGACATCCAACAGGGGCTGAATCAGAATAGATTGCAAAGCATATATGTACATGGATATTGCACATAGTAGCTCCACTGTGCATAGATATGTACAAAGTAGGTGCACAAGGAGCCCCTGACCATGATTGATAATCATAATGCTATTCATGTAAAGGCTTTGCATGGATTTTGGCCATAAAATCTTAAACTCCATCTATGAACGTGCACCGGAGATTATTATAGATACTCCGATAGAACTTTACATCTGTTCTTGGCGTTGATGAAGCTTCGGTAAGTTACCGAGTCCAATGCACAAAACGTGGGCAGGTCCGAGGGTTATGCATGGCCCGGTGCCCAAACCCTTATGGAATTTAGTTGGACATTATTTCCTTATACTCTGTACACAATATTAGCAAATATCCATGAACTAGAGGTAAAGTGCTAGGATCATGTATGTACCTTGAGAAGGTCGAAGTGTGTTTTGAAGCCTTACCGTAAAAGGAACCAATCAGATCGATGCCGCATACCCGAGTGGCTTGACATAAAATTTTCATAAATCACGTGGCCGTAAAAACGTGGCTGCAAACAGAAGAATTCGGTTACTCCCATGGCTGCATCAGCCGTGGCTGCATTTTCAGGGTTAAATTCGTATATTTGTACCACCTATAGTCTTTAATTTACCATGGAAATATACGAATATAGGTATGAAATCAGTATAAAATCAATATAAAAAAAAATTATACGTCCCAAACTAGACCTTGGGTCCAGATCCCCAACCTTGGAACTTTGCATCGGGTCTGATACCTTGTCCGGGTCCGGGGCCCACCTATCCCACGGAATTCCACTTTGTACTTTATCTGCATACTAGACCCCTTTATATATGATGAGAGGCCCATCCCGAGGTCTTCAAGTCGCATTTTTCCTCGGCATTCCTTGAAACCCCGGCAAAGTTTTATATCTCTTTATATACCTCGGAATACTATCTACATCCCACCTGCCCCACCATGGCAGACTCTGAGCCGTATGCCTCGGAGAAGATAGAGCCCTCTGCTCCAACGAAAATCCCATTTTGGCGCTTGATCTTTGACCAAGGCGTTGTCACGCAAGAGATCATCGATCACCCATACCCCGGTTCAGGAACGGAAGAGGACCCATACGCTGTAACATGGATTCCCAACGATCCCCGCAATCCTATGAACTTCAGCGAGGTGAGGAAATGGACTCTTACAATGCTGGTGGCCATTGCCACATTGGCCGTTTCACTGGTTTCATCTGCCTATACTGGCGGTCTTCGAGAGATCATCATGGAGTTTAACATCGGGCAAGAAGTTGCCACTCTCGGTGTCTCGCTTTTCGTTCTCGGTTTCGCGGTAAGACTTCCATTCTCTAGACGTTGGCTCTTGAGCTTGCGCAATCTGCTTTTGCATGTCATACTAACGTTATTTGCTCTATAGATCGGACCATTGCTCTGGGCTCCACTGAGTGAGCTGTTTGGCCGCCAACTCTTGTTCGTTACTACCTACGCTGCCCTCACAGCTTTCAATGCCGGCGTCGCAGGTTCGCAAAATGCCTGGTCCATTATCATTTTCCGATTCTTGGCTGGTTCCTTTGGATCGTCACCTTTGACCAATGCCGGTGGTGTCATTGCGGACATGTTCCCCGCTCAGCAGCGAGGTATCGCGATGAGTTTGTTCGCCGCTGCACCTTTCCTTGGCCCTATTATCGGCCCCATCGCAGGTGGATTCATTGGTATGAGTGACGGCGGCTGGCGATGGGTCATGGGTTTCCTTGCCATCTTTTCGGGTACGGTCTGGATCATTGGTGGTCTATTCATCCCCGAGACCTATGCGCCTGTGCTTCTCCGTCGCCGTGCGGAGAGACTCTCCAAGTTGTCGGGCCAGGTCTACCAGAGTAAGCTTGACATCGACCAAGGTAGACCCTCTCTCAAGGAGTCCTTCAAGGTATCGCTCTCCCGTCCTTGGATTCTTTTGTTCCAGGAGCCTATCGTGTTCTTGCTATCTCTATACATGGCTATCGTTTACGGTACCTTGTACATGATGTTCGCCGCTTTCCCTATTGTCTACCAGCAGTCTCGCGGCTGGAACCAGGGTGTTGGTGGCCTTGCCTTCCTCGGTATCATGATTGGCATGTTGATTGCCGTCGCCTACTCCGTCTGGGACAACAAGCGCTATATCGATGTATCCAACAAACACAAGGGCTTCGCACCCCCGGAGGCACGTCTCCCACCTTGCCTCCTTGCATCCGTCGCAATCCCAGTCGGTCTATTCTGGTTCGCATGGACCAACTATCCATCAATCCACTTCATGGTCAGCATCGCAGCTGGCGTTCCCTTTGGCTTTGGAATGGTCCTAGTCTTCCTCAGCATCATGAACTACCTCATCGATTCCTACACCATCTTCGCCGCCTCCGTGCTGGCCGCTAACTCCGTCATCCGTTCCCTCTTCGGTGCCGCTTTCCCCCTCTTCACCACCTACATGTACAATGACCTAGGTATCCACTGGGCATCATCGATCCCTGCCTTCCTAGCGCTCGTTTGCGTGCCCTTCCCATTCTTGTTCTACAAGTACGGACCCGCGATTCGCACCCGTTGCAAGTTCGCCGCCCAGTCCGATGCTTTCATGCGCAAGATTCAGGAACAGGTTACCGCGCCACCCACAGAGGACAAAGTGGAATACGACCGCACCGAGGCTCCTGTGCCCGAAGGCTCACTCTCCAGCGAGTCCCAAGACGACGAACCCACCCACGCGCAACGCACTCGCAGCCGTGCGCACTCTGTCGCTTCCAACCGCACTGCTGGCTCCTTGGCCCGTTCAGTTACCTACGATGGAAACCCCTACGATATTGATCGTGTCCACACTCGGGACTCCTTCAAGCAATAAGCAATAAGCGGCTGCTGAGCAGCTTGCTTATATCCCCCTCTCATCTTACCATTCTTATCCGGGCTTGTCATACCTATACTCGCCCGTGTCACTATAATCATAGTTTCTATTGACCCCGTTTCTCCCCTGGTACAAAAAGTTCCCTTGCATGTTATGCGTTTGTTTTTACTTCGATACCCGTTCATATCATACCGAGGGCAACCTCATCCGACTAATGTTTTTTATGGGATGCATTTTATAGAGCTGGAGTCTAATTTTTCAGAAATACATATTTATCAGTTTGCAAATATCAGTTTTCATACCAGTCTTTTCTATGAATAGAGTAAATCCAATCGGATCTGCATCCGGCACTGATTTCACCCGCTTTTCGCCATTCGGCCCTTATCGCTCCCCGAGGTCGGATCTCAAAGCGCATTGTTTTCTAATTTCTGACAACCTTTTTTTTAACTCCCACTCCCAACTATTCTTCGTTTGTAAATAACAAGGCGTGGTCTTGGAAATGAGCCTCCTCAGAAATGGTCTATCCAGGGCCTCGACCTCACCTTCAACCTCCCTCCACCGACCGATAACCCCCAGATCCAAACCCCAGTTATTGCGCCAACCACGCCAACAACGCCGATACAACTCCGACTCCCCTGCAGGAAAGACACCGGAGAGAAATACAACACCAGCACACCATCCCAAGCTGCCTGACAATATCCCCGCCTCGGCTGCTGCAACCGGAGCAATAACCACACCTGCGCGCCGCGGATTCCGCCAGGTGATAAGTGCTGGCCCGGTGGGGAAGTTTGGACGATGGTATGCGCGCGCGCAGGAGCGTAAGCCGTATACGACGCAGTTCTGGAGCTCGATTGTTATTTACCTGTGTGGTGATCTGAGTGCGCAGATGTTGTTCCCTTCGGAGGTTCCTGCGCCTGCGGTATCGGATTCGGAAGATGGGGATGTCGTTGCGCGGGATGGGGAGACTGTCAGCGCTGGGTATGATCCTCTTAGGACGCTGCGACATTTGTGTGTTGGGGGCGTGTCGAGTATTCCGTCTTATAACTGGTATGTTCTGTCGGGATTTGGTTATGCGATATGCAACCAATGGTTTTCTTATATTGTTACTATTACCATGTGGGGGATATACAGATAGTCAACTGACAGACCCGCTTCTCTAGGTTCTTGTTCCTCGGAAACCATTTCAACTACCCGAGCAAGCTCCTCTCAATCCTGACAAAGGTCGTCGTGCAGCAGTCGTGCTTCACACCCGTCTTCAATACGTACTTCTTTAGCATGCACTCCCTGCTTGCTGGCGCAACGCTCGACGAGACCTATGAGCGGGTGAAGAAGGCTCTCCCCGTTAGTATCCAGAACAGCGTCAAGCTTTGGCCGGCTGTTACTGCGTTCATGTTCATGTATGTGCCGCCGCAGTTCCGGAACATCTTCTCTGGGGGTATTGCGGTTGGTTGGCAGACCTATCTGAGCTGGTTGAATCAGAAGGCTGCTAAGGAGGTTGCAGCTGCTGAGGCGCTTGCTGGGGCAGAAGGGATGGGTGCGTTGCATGCTGTTTCTGGGGGGAATATGATTTCTGCTGGGACTGCGTGAATACATGGAAATTTGATTTAAAAGTATAGTTGAGGTTGGGTGGATGTATAGATTCATAAATCCCTGCCGAGTATCGACAGGGAAGTTTTCTTTTTTGTTTTGTTTTGGAGCGATGCATGGGATACCAAGAGCAATTACTTAGATCAATAGACTTCAGTCTCTTTTGCTAGTTTATATTCTATGTAATATCTAATATTTTCTACAATTATCAAGTATGTAATGGCCAGCCAGTAAGAACAACGGGATTCTTAAGGCTCCTTCAATGACGCACCAGAACACCAACTCTACAAGATATGATCCCCTCCAGTCGCAGGCATATCCTGCCAAGAGAGAATGGAGGATGACTCTGACTACGGATCCGACTTCACTCCAGATGAAGAGGATCTGCTAAACAATTTGCTGAACAAAGCCGTCGCGGAACATGCGACCGCCGCCGACACCGACGCCACCTCGTTCTCGACAACCTGGATCTCGACCCCAACGCCCATCGAACAGATCACCGCGCCAAAATCCCCAGAACTCGCCGATCTCGAGTCATTGCAACCAGCAGCTTTAGACGCACTCGTTGCAGATATCGAGGATGGCATCGGGCCTAGCGTTCGGTTGCCTAAGGTGCTGGGCCGGGAAAGGCCTCGCTCGACATGGCAGCCGCAGCCTCGACCAGGTCAGGCGGTTAGATGGGGTGCGAATGCGAGTGCAAGGGGGATTTCAAATCCACGCGCTCGCAACAGCAACAGGAACAGCCCGTTTGGTATGCTTTTCATCTTTACCTTCCCCCCATCCCCTTCCCGATTGATCGTCCATATTTTTTTTATGGATTGGTCCCAGTACATCCGAACTGAATTGAGCTGACAACATCTTCTCCGAAGCGTTTAGTCGAGAACCCTAGTTCAACCGAGGGCCGAGAAAGAGAACGCGAGCGCAACGCAGTGCGCGAGCAGGAATGGATACAACAGGATCCCACCGCCGCGGCGCTCGATACTCGAACCCCCGTCGAACGGTATCGACAAGCACCTAACAAAGCGTTCTCGGTGACTGATCTCGTTTCACCAGCTTGGTGCGAGCTGCAGTACTGGCTCACGTTGACTAAACATGGGCGGAAGAAGCCGACTGCTGCGATGAAGAGGGGGAGCTCCATGCACAAGACCCTCGAGGATGAGATATACACCACTGTACCTGTGGAAGTCACGACTAAAGAGGACGCGTGGGGTCTTAGGATATGGAATGTTATTCAGGGACTGCGCATGCTGCGCGAGTATGGTGTCACGCGCGAGCTAGAGGTTTGGGGCGTTGTCGATGGGGAATTTGTCAATGGCGTTATCGATGAGTTGTCCTATGAGTGTCCCAACTCGGAGCTTGAGGCTACTGCTGCTGGGTACTATGCGGATGTTGTAGCGTCGCGCGCTGCCCTGCCGGAGTACCAGATGTCCTTGTCGGACTATTTGCTTTCTTCTTCGCAAGGCGGGATGAAGCTTTCGGACCTGGGCCAGAATGAAGTCGAGGAAACGGGATACATTGAGCCGGAACTGCCTGCGGAGGTCTATAACCTACGCCGGATTTATTTGACAGATGTGAAGACGAAGGGTAACCGATCCCTACCGACTGTCAAGAGCACGGGCTTCCGGCCTACGCTTCTCCAGTTACAACTTTACTACCATATGCTCAACCGGATGGTCACGAGCGACGATGTCACTATTGACCTTCTCGCCACTCGTTACGACTTCGATGCCCAGAAGCCGTTCACGAGCGCCTTCGTCTCCGAGGTTGGCGGCTTGAACGACCAGTTCTTCGACGCTCTCTCCTCCCAAGAGTCCGAACAGAACGAGGGTCCTTCTAATGCTAGCGAGGACTCAACCAGCCTCCTTCTATCACACAACAATCTCTCCTGTCTTTGGAGTCTCATGATACAACAACTCCGCCTCACATTCCTCCCCGAAAATCCCTCCGACACGCAATCTATCGCACCATCCATCCCATCAGTTTCCCAGCCAGAGCTCTTGGAATCATACTCAACCCTCCTCTCCCCGGTGCTCACAGCTAGATATCTCTCATCTGTCGCCAACGAAGACCGAGAGAGACAACTCATCGGAAGCCGATCTTTCCTCTTCGATCCGACATCCCTCACTTCCTACCTCACTGACCAGATGACCTGGTGGCGCGGCGAGCGAGATCCTCGCGGCGTGGATATCATGGACGCGTGGAAATGTCGGATCTGCGATTTCCGTGATGAGTGCTCTTGGCGTGAGGAGCGTGAGATGGCTTATGCCAGACGCGGTGGAGGTCGGAGAGGGTCCGTTGCGGATATATAATTTGTCTTGAGTCTTTACATTAAACGCGTTCAGCGATTGTAAGAATACGGAGTTGGTTACATCTGAGCATGTTCTTTTACTACTCAGACCTTAGAAATATCAGAATAATCGAATAAACGACAGAAATAATTCATCACAACCTCACTCAAAGAGGATAACTCCTAACCTCATCCTCTTTCTCAACCTCCAACCCTCCCTCAACTTGCACTCTATGCTTCTCATCCAAAAACTCCAACAAAACATCCTGATACTTCTCCTTCCCCTTATACCGACCAACATCATCCCCCCAACTCCTAATCGCATCCGCCAAACGACCAGGAACATAAGGTTCCTCTACAATACTAGTAATAGGCTCAAAGTAAGTCCGAATCGTAAAAACAACCGCCCCAGATCTAGGCAATCTCCTCAACGACTGCCTCTCCGAGCGAAAGAAATGATTCTCAATAGCACGGTTCTTCTCCGCCGTATTCCACGATACAGTCTCCGCATCCTCAGACCCAATACTACCAGACCACGCCAGGTTATCATCCACCTGGATGAAATAGTTATTCCGTAGAACAGGTTCTTCAGGTCGTAGTCGTCGGAAGAAATTCATCATTCCTTTCTCGAGCTTGTTCTTGAACTGCGGTACGTCGCCAGATGTATGGATTTCAGATAGTCGCATCCCGAACTTGTCGCTCAGTCGCCAGAACCCGGCTAGTAGGACCGCGCCGGCGAGGAGGTAGTATTCGCCATCTGCGCGCTCGATCATTAGGGCTAGGTCGTCTTGGACTAGTCGTGCTGCTGTTGCCATTGGGTCTTCTGGGAGTGGGCGTTGGGTTATGTTGAAGGTTTCGTTGGTTACTTTGTTGGTTATGCCCGTTGCGGTCTTGGTGAACATGCTTGGGTATCTTTCGGGGAGGTAGGTGCATCTAGATTGTGGGAGAGATGTTAGGATGCGGTTCTTGATATGGAGATGTATGTTTTGTTGTCTGCTCTTACAGTTCTTCGAGTAGTTCGATTGCCGCGTCCATTGCTTCCGGTGCTGTATGGCAGCATTTGCTCCCGCGATCTTGGATGCGCCGTGCTTTGTCGGCGTGGTATTTCAGATAGTGGTTGTCGAGCTCTATATTCAGGATATATGAGGTCAATGGACTGGTGGGATCTGACTATCGAACGACTCACCGATCCATTCGTCCCATTTCATACTCCTTAGACCTAGCGTGATGTAGTAGCTTCTGCCAGAAAAGGTTAAAATATAGTCATATCTCCAGTGGATTTGTTCAACATACGGGCCATATCTAAAGGGCCGGTAAGGAATTGGCTTTGTCGAATGGACATCCCATCCCGAGTATGGGGCCGCCGTTGGCCGTTTGAAGTCCGATGGAGTCCATTCTACGCAGAAAGAGTTAGTGAGACTTTCTCATTCTTGCATAGAGCGACATCTTGCATTTACTTACCACCCGGTGTCCTGGTGACCTTTCCTCTCACACCTGCGGGTTTCTCTAGATCGCTTCTTGAAGCTCTGGCTGTGCTAGAAGTCCACTTCCGCGAGGCCAAGATGACAAGCCATATACAGACACTGAGAATGAGGAAGGCATACACGGGCTTTGTCGTTCGAATCGATAATATAGTTCCCCATAGGGACTCAAGTACCGAGATTGTCATGGCGAGACACTTCTAGGTAGAACCTAGTTCGAGGATACATCGAGAATAGAAGGCGAGGAACCCCAAGTAGTTTTTAGTATATAGTGAACGCAAAGCGAATCGCCCTTATCAAGTCTAGAGTGCGGGGAAAGTTATTAGATGGTTCTCTCATGCGAGACGTCTTGTTAATCCGATACGAGATAGGCCATGTTGGGTCAATATGTCAATTGTGGCAGGGAATAGAGACTATCTGAGGAAGAGGGGGACGTCTTTTTCGAGCTGTCAAATCCGGGACTGCATGCTTTTGTCTGTTATTTTGTCTGTTATTTTGTCTGTTATTGGCCCTCTAGTGACACGGAGGTCTATCTGCCGAGAAAAGCTAGAAATGGATAGGGATCTTTTGTCCGAATTGGGAAAGGTGACGCTACACTTATAACCTCAGGTATCACTAATTTTTTCGATGTGAATACCTAGGTATTTCCGTGATGTTGTTACATAATTCTTCTATCAGTTTTATCCAGGGTTTCCAGGGGTATCCTGGATCTATACATGGCATGCGACTGTTCTTTGGAGAAGACAATATTCACCCCATTTGCGTCGGAAGCGAGCTGGGATGACTGGGAGATCAGGAATCCAGATCAATCGACCTAGCAGGCCTGTTTGAGACGCATCAAGGAAGCTTGCGCAGGAAAGCGTCTCCCACTGTGCCTTATCCAGGAGGTAATGGGGCTCTAGCTCGGTGGCCTCATGACCAGGGAAGTAAGAGTCGACCAGGAAAGAACATTGAGAGATATCAACCTGTTCTAAAGTCAGCATGGGGACAGAAATAATGGTTTCAGTGCCACGTTGGGATACTTACGTATTTGCTAGGGTCCTCAATGTTGAGATCATTCATACCAGATGGAATCTGTGAGGCACCATCCAGACGCCCAAGAGAACTCGGTGAATCTGGGAACTCACCCGGAAGTAGTCCTCGGAATTCACTTCGGATGAACTTGGCGCGCATGTTGTTGGGAAGAAAATATGACGATGGGAAGCGATACCACTCCTTGCCGAAACACACCGAGTCTTCTGCATGCGCGATATCCACATGCTGTAGGGGCTCCAACACCTTCAATGGAGCGTTATAAGCGGTAACCATACCTAGAGTGCGCAGCATGCCGGCGTTCAGAGCGACTAGAACGACTGACATGGCTGCAGCAATCTTTAATTTAGTTGGTACACGGCCGATCACTTCCTTCCGATCAGTAGAACCAAGGTAGGTCAGGATAATATGGAAGCTCAAAGCCGCGCTAAGTGCTAGGAACGGGTATGCTGGGTACATAAATCGCTCCTCCTTGTGTGGTTGGACCGAGAAAATCCCGAACCACATGTAGAAGGGAGCGACCAGGGTCATGGACCGCAATGAGGTTTGCAAGGAGGTTGTGTGCGATCGAAAGACGATCTGGAAAAGTAGGAGGGGCGCAGATAGCATGGCGAAGACAAACCAGACATTGAAGTTGAGCAAGAGGTTTCGAATATAGAAAGTCCACGGCTCAGTTCCAAAAATATCCGGTCCCTTACCTTCTCCCCCAGGATGTTATATGCGACAATGTTCCAAGGCACGAGAACGAGCTTCCGGAAGAAAGCATAGTCAACTGCAACTTCAAGAGCCTGTGATACATCTTAGTAAAGATATTGAAACCCAGTAGAATTTCACCTACCAGAATCGACAAACAACGAATAATGCCATCGAAGACATTGTACAACAGTGAGCCGAAAGACCCAGACATCATACCAACAATGGCTTCCTCAGCCAAAAAAGGGACTATGAGAGCACCGGCAAATGGCCACCCAACGATTGTCCCCAGCCCAAACCACATGATGCCCTGCGCTGTTTTCCGGCTATTTTTCCAATCTAGGAACGAAGCCAGACCAAGCATAGACATATACATGGTAAAAGTAGAGGGCAAAAAGGCAGTCGAAGCATGAAACATGCCAGGGCTGAGTGTGACGATCATCACAAAAAAGAGACCGATGCGGGGGCTGAGTGTACGACAGATCGCAGAGTATAGTCGAGTCTGACAGGCAGTACACAAGAATGCAAGACATAGGCGAATCGTGTAGAATTCAGCTGTCTTGCTGTGAACTACCAAAGACCCGATCTTCCCTACAGTGGCATGGAGCGCCACGTAGAGCCAGCTCCGGATAGAATAAACCGGTGAATATTCCCAGGTTTGAAGACCATATCCATGCTGAAGATAATGCGCAGGTTCCCAGAAATTGAACACCTCATCGCAATCTTGAATTGGAGAGAATATTGCGGCGAGAGTGTTGGCAGCTAGAAATAGGTAGAGTGTGATGTTGAGGGGAATGTAGAAGGGAGGTGGTGGGGGTCTATACATAGGTTAGCATCATGTTTAATCCTAAAAATATTCATATACATACTGCTTCTTTGACCGAGGCTTATGGGCATCCCTCGAGGCATCTTCGTTCCCTGCCATCTTGCAAGTTGGACTTAAAGTCTAAATCCATCAAATGGATGGAGCTACGATAACCGATAAGACTTTATTGACCGCCCTGCGGAGTCTGGCAGAATAAAAAAAGTTTCCCGTGCGACTTTTGATCTTTCAAGTTGAACTGGTTTTTGTTGAAAAATATTTGAGTTGAAGATTCAATATGGACGGACACAACATCCCCTCTAATGACACCACAGGTGCCGGTGAAGGCCCTGCCCCCAAAAAACCCTGTCTTATCGAGACGCCTATCCCAGGGACCCCAGACAACGGCAGCGATTTCTATAACACTCCCTTGGCTGCAGGCACACCAGACATGGGTATAACCAGCCTAAATACTGGAAACAGCGCATTCGAACCCTCTACTTCCTCGAAGCCAAGCCACATGATCCCCGGATTGAACCTTATTCACCACCCATCCGGACAAGAAACTGGCTCACAGTTGACCGAACACACAACCAAGCAAGAGCAAGATCAACCAGTGAACCACCAAGAAGCCGAGACGGAAATCAAACAAGAGGAAACTCAGCAAATCTCTCAGCCCGAGTCCACCGAGGCAGTGATGAAGGATGAGGCAGAGGCGCAAAGCAAAAGCGAACTCACTGCTCCCCTCGACGAAGCTATGGATGTCGAACAAGATACCCACCAAGGTAATATGATCGAAGCCACTGGCCAGGCTGGTGATGCCAACGAAGAGGACCACCCTGAGTGGGAGGAAGACTCTTCCCCGTACGAGTCATCTTCGGACAGCTCTGATTCCTCGGACTCCGATGATAGTGACGACGAAGACTATCCCATCCTCAGCGCGGAGGAGCAAGCACAGATTCTTATGCGTGCGGAAGGTGGTTCTGACGACGAGGGAGATGGCAAGGGGAAATCAGGCGGACAACTGCGGACCACCAACGAGATCGAACACGAGGTCCTGCCTATCCCTGACGTTAAGATCACCCCCGAGATGAAGATCGTGTTCCTTGGCAAAGTCCATGCCGCTATCGATAACAATGTTCTTATCGAGGCTAATACCTCCGGAGAATATCAAGTGCTTGAGTCGGGCTCCTTGCTCTGCTCCGATGATCGCCAGCCCATTGGTGTAGTAGCAGAGACCCTGGGCAGAGTGGAGAATCCTTTGTATACCGTCACATACGCCACAGCCTCTGAAGTTCAGGAAAAGGGCTTAGTCAAGGGCAAAGATATCTTCTATGTTGAGGGACACTCCACCTTTGTGTTCACTCAGCCGCTCAAGGGCCTGAAGGGAAGTGATGCTTCCAACTTCCACGACGAGGAAGTTGCCGCCGAAGAGATGGAATTCTCCGACGATGAAGCGGAGGCTGAATACAAGCGGAAATTGAAGCAGAAGCGACAAGAGCGAAAGGAAGCCAGAGAAGGCCCCAGAGGCAAGAAGCCAGCCCCAGGACCTTCGAAACTGAACCAGACCGAGCTCAACTACGACGATGCCGGAGGTGAGGAGGGCTATACCCCTCTGGCACGCCCTACCAACCTCCACGAGATGATGACTCGCGAGGCACCAGTTGAAGGCAACGAGCGTGGCGGGTTCCGTGGCGGAAGAGGCCGTGGCCGAGGTGGTGACCGGGGTGACCGGGGTGACCGTGGACGCGGAGGACGCGGCAGAGGTGGACGTGGAGGAAGGGAGTGGGACCAGGACCGTCGTCCCCAGCAGGCCAGCGGCCCAGCCCACGAGTCTCAGCCTCAGCCTCAACCTCAAGCTCAGCCCGCTGCTCCCTACGGCCAGCCGATGTACCAGCAGCCTCAGCAGCCATACGGGATGCCCCAGTCTTTCGCCCCATATGCGCAATACGCACAGCAGCAAGCCCAGAACCCGCAACAGCCGCAATTCGGCCAAGGTGGCGCGCAACCTCAGATGCCCTTCCAATTCCCTCCATATGCGGCCTTCCAACAACAACCCAACTTCCAGAACATGCAACAGGGTGCCCCTCAATACAATCCTCAATCTATGGCTATCTTGCAACAACAGCAACAATTCCTGCAGCTTCTGCAACAACAGCAGCAGTACCAACAGTCCCAGCAGCATTACCAACCCCCTCAGCAACAGCACCAACAGCTCCAGCCCCAGCCTCAGCCCCAGCAGCAACAGCACCAGTCTCCCCAGGCCCAAACACCGGCTATGAACTTTGATCAAGTTAAAGCTCAGCTGGATCTGCTGAGAAACCTGCACGGCGGGAATCAGGGTCCTCCTCCTTCCTGATAACTTTGTTTTCCATACATGTTCTTCTGTGATCTGTGATATCCTAGCGGAATATTTGCTTTGCATACGGAGCGGGGTTTATGTGGGTAGGGAATTTTGTTGTAATTAAAAGTTTTTCATTGCTCTAAGTGTTTTTGTGAACAATTTACGGTGTCTACGGGGCATAAACAGGAATGATCTGAAGCATCATGCGTATGAATGATATGGCTATGAAGCAAGTTCGCTATCTGTAAAAGTACAATAGACCTAGACCTTAATGATCAGCCGTAGGAAATGTTTTTTTCTTATTATTCAGCTGGCTTAGCACTCTTCGCCAATGTCCAGAAGTTCTCCATCTTGGCTCGGGACAGGGCTTCCTTGGCAGCAGAGTCTGTTTCACAGATACGAGCACCAAGCCATCTCTTGAAGGCCCGGCCTTGAGTCTGACCTTCCCAAAGGAGATTACATGTGTTCGCGCTGAAATCCCGGGGCTCTCCCTTTTCATCCTCAGTGGATAACCAGGAAACCTTAGCTTCAGGGCTGTCTGCAGGCACTCGATCGGACCCAGGGTTTTCAGTCCAATCAATGCGGTTCAACATCAACTTTCGGTAGTTGTTGATAGAGTGACGGCCGCCCTCGACAATCACCAGATTGAACCGAGGATGCATGACACATACGCCTGTCAGATTATTTTGCTGTGCGTTTTTGCCGATCTTGAAGCGGTTCCGGCCGCTCGCCAAACTTTCAATTCGATACACAGATTGGAAGATGCCCAAAGAGGCGTCCTTCTCCTGCTGAGCTGCCAATTTCTCGCGCCGTTGCTCCTTGGTCAGTTTGCGGTCTTCGTTCGCTATCTCGTGTGCCTCCTTTCGATCTGCGATCTCCCTGGTCACACGAGCTTCCACAGCCGTGGGATCCTTCACAGCTTGTTCTCCCAAAACCCGCATGAGGTTGGATTTCTTGACCTTTGGAGCCGGTGCCTCTTCGAGTCCCAGTCTGATCTTGGCTTGCTGTTCCTTCAGATCTGCCATGCGTCGCTGTCGACGAATCTTGGCTTGTTCTTTCGGAGTAAGGAACATAGGTTTTTGTGCAGGCATGTGCTTTTCTTGCGGAGGTTGGAGCTCGATAGGATGCTGGACATAGCTGTTGATGGTATTAAGTTTGATGTTTTGCGGGTCATCAATCGCGTCATAGTCGTTGCCATTAATCAATTGTGCATCCCACCACTCTAGATCGGGTGGAGCAGGAACAAGGAATGCCTTCTGCACATCCATATCCTCGTCAAGTCCGGCCTGTCGCGAGTGCTGTTCAATTCTTTTCTTCATAGCTTCCATCTTTGCCTGTGTGCGCAGAGCCGCTGCCTGTTGGATATATTTGCCCTTTTCATTGAAGTGAAGCTCTCGGGTTTGTCGGGGCTTCGCAATCGTTGCTTTGGGGTTGATAGACGGGTCAAAGTAAGGGTTGTTCTTGATTTCCTCGATAGACGGACCAGACAGATCAAGCTGGGGCCCACCAGCACGTTTCGCCTTAGATTGTCGTCCATTTGCACCACGATATTCCATTGCAGCATCAGAGAGAAGCGCGGGATGAAGGCCAACATCAAGACCACCACGAGCCTTGGACATGCCCTCGTCATCACGGGGTGGTAGTTGGTAGGATGGCGCGGGTGCACTGGGTCGCGGCTGAGAGGGTGTGCTGGCTCGTTGAGTAGCTGCAGCAACTCGAGCTTTCATTTGTTCTAGTTTCGACATCGCGGGGGTGGGTGCAGGCGGAGGAGGACTTGTAGAAACCGGTGTGGGTGGTGCTGGCGGTGTTGGGGTCGCTGTCAGGGCGCCGCGCGCTTGTAGACGAGCGCGCACAGCTTCTGCCTTGGCCTTTGCTTCTGCCATTATTTTCGCAATATCTGGCTTGCCGGAGGCAGCACCTCCTTGACCTGGTGCTGGGGACCCATGGTTGGAGCGGGTCCTTTTCTGGGAGTTGTCGTGTTGATCCTCAGGGTGAGGACGCTTCAGCGCATTACCTGATGCGTCGGCCATAATGTAGACGACTTCCGACTCACTCGGTCTTGTCGCGATAGGAAAATAGGAAAACGTCGAATGACTGGAGGATAGACAAGCAGTAGGAGTGTATGAGAGAGTAATCCACGCAGAAACCCGAAAAGGGTAAGGCGGTGGACACAGGCAGAAAAGAAGTTGGCTCCTCCGGAAAAAAAAAGTTCGCTCCAGAACTAAAGCACTTGGAGATCTGAATCCGAGCACTTTGATTTCGTGCGCCAGCGTTTTCTGTTGCTCAAGGAGCTGCAGGCTACAATGGCAACTTTTGCGCGCCCGGTCGCCTCGACCATTAATGGGGTCGACTTCAATGTCTACTCCGAGGAAGAGATTAAAGCTCTCTCGGTGAAAAGAATTCACAATACTCCAACTTTGGATTCATTTAACAATCCTGTTCCTGGTGGTCTTCAAGACCCTGCTATGGGCGCTTGGGGAGATCATGTGTAAGTCCTGACTTGTTTAATATACTTTTCAATCTTTAACGTGAGAGATTTTCTTATTTTGCAGATGCACTACTTGTCGCCAGAACTCTTTCACTTGTACCGGACATCCTGGACACATTGAGCTGCCAGTACCATTCTATAATGTCACCTTCTTCGATCACATCTTCCGCCTTCTCCGAGCACAATGTGTGTACTGTCTTCGCCTTCAGATGGGTCGCAGCCAGGTCAACATGTACACCTGCAAATTGCGCCTTCTGCAATATGGCCTCGTCGACGAAGTCGCTATTGTCGATGCGATGGGTGCCGTAAAAGGTGCTAAAGCAAAGCCCACCAAGGGCAAGGAAGACGATTCGGACGACTCAGACGACGCTGATGATGATGACTATATGCAAAAGAGGACTGATTATGTCACTCGGCGCATCCGCGAAGCCAAGAAGGAGGGCAAGTTGGACGGATTGATGCCTGGTGGACAGAACCCTATTGCCGCAGAAGCCAGACGAGAGTTGCTCAAGGCCTTCTTCAAGGATATCAACGGACTCAAGAAATGTGTCAGCTGCAGCGGGTACGTTATACAATATTCCTCGACCTTGACTTTCTCAGCTAACATCATGGCAGAGTGTCCCCCGCCTATAAAAAAGATCGCTACAACAAAATCTTCCGAAAGCAATTACCCGAGAAGCAGAAGCTTGCAATGCTGCAAGGAGGATTCCAGGCACCGAACACCATGGTCCTTCTCGACCAAGAAAGGCAATCCAAGTCCAAGGACGGTGTTTCTGAGATCCACGGAGCCGAAGAGGAAATTCGCCGTGGTGGAGCTGTCGTGCAGGAGGTACAGGGATCGACTGGCCAGGAATTCATGTCTTCTTCCGAAGTCTATGGAGCTCTTCATCTTCTTTTCCAAAAGGAAAGTGAGATCTTGGAGCTTGTCTACAACTCTCGACCTTTGCCCAAGGGAGTGAAAGTTGTGTCGGCGGACATGTTCTTCATCAAGAGTCTTATGGTGCCGCCAAACAAGTACCGTCCCGCAGTCCAGCAAGGTGCCGGAACAGTCATGGAGGCACAGCAGAACACTTCGTTCAATGCGATTCTGAAGGGCTGTGACACTATCAACCAAATCAGCAAGGAGATCCAAAACGAGGAAGAGAAGACCATGTCCCGGGCACGGAACTACAGTGATCTCCTCCAAGCTATCGTTCAGCTCCAAGATGTGGTCAACGGTTTGATTGACCGCGATCGTACCTCGGTCACCGGCGCAGCTGCCTTGTCACAGCCTAACGGTATCAAGCAGATTCTCGAGAAGAAGGAGGGTTTGTTCCGGAAGAACATGATGGGTAAGCGTGTCAACTTTGCTGCCCGTAGTGTTATCTCGCCCGATCCCAACATCGAACCCAATGAGATTGGTGTACCCCTTGTCTTCGCCAAGAAGTTGACTTTCCCCGAACCTGTGACAAACCACAACTTCTGGGAGCTGAAGGAGGCTGTCATCAACGGCCCTGACAAATACCCCGGCGCTTCTTCCATCGAGAACGAAAACGGGCAAGTCATCAACCTCAAGTTCAAGAACCTGGAAGAGCGGACAGCACTTGCCAACCAACTGCTTGCACCGTCAAATTGGCGCCAGAAGGGTTCGCGCAACAAGAAGGTCTACCGTCATCTCACCACTGGTGATTACGTCCTGATGAACCGTCAGCCAACTCTGCACAAACCCTCCATCATGGGTCACAAGGCTCGCGTCCTTCCCAACGAGCGTGTTATTCGCATGCACTACGCCAATTGTAACACCTACAACGCCGATTTCGATGGTGACGAGATGAACATGCATTTCCCTCAAAATGAGCTTGCTCAAGCAGAAGCCAGAATGTTGGCAGATGCCGACCATCAGTATCTCGTTGCCACGTCAGGCAAACCCCTGAGAGGTCTGATTCAAGATCATATTTCCATGGGAACGTGGGTTACGTGCCGTGACAGCTTCTATGATGAGGAGGATTATCACCAGCTGTTGTACAGTTGCTTGAGACCCGAACATTCGCATATCGTCACTGACCGGATCCAACTGGTCGAGCCTGCTATGCGAAAGCCCAAGTGCCTATGGACCGGAAAGCAGATCATCACGACAATCCTCAAGAACATCCAGCCCGCAGAGCGAGGAGGTTTGACCTTGAAGAGTAAGTCTTCAACCCCCGGTGATCGATGGGGCGAGGGCAACGAAGAAGGAGAGGTCATCTTCCAGGATGGAGAGTACCTCTGTGGTATCCTTGATAAGAAACAGCTCGGTCCCACCGCGGGTGGTCTCATCGATGCCATCCATGAAGTTTATGGATACAGCATTGCTGGTAAGCTCATCGGTATTCTCGGAAGACTCCTCACTCGTGTCCTGAACCTGCGGGGATTCAGTTGTGGTATCGACGATCTTCGATTGACCAAGGAGGGTGACCGTATCCGCAAGGAGAAGTTGGCCACTGCCCCTCAGATGGGTCGCGAAGTTGCCCTGAAGTATGTGACCTTGGACCAGGTTCCTGGTGACCAGACTGCCGAGTTGAACCGACGACTGGAGGAGGTTCTTCGCGATGACGACAAGCAAAGTGGCCTGGATAGTGTCTCCAACGCCCGGTCTGCCAAGCTCTCCTCTGAAATCACCAGCGCCTGTCTCCCATACGGCCTGGCTAAGCCTTTCCCCTGGAATCAGATGCAGTCTATGACGATATCTGGAGCCAAGGGATCTGGTGTTAACGCCAACCTGATTTCTTGTAATCTCGGTCAACAGGTTCTTGAGGGTCGCCGTGTACCACTCATGATCAGTGGAAAGACTCTTCCGTCATTCAAAGCCTTCGAGACTCACCCAATGGCTGGTGGTTACGTCTCTGGTCGTTTCTTGACCGGAATCAAGCCCCAAGAATACTACTTCCACGCCATGGCTGGTCGTGAGGGTCTGATTGATACCGCTGTTAAGACCTCTCGATCTGGTTACCTGCAGCGTTGTTTGATTAAGGGTATGGAAGGCCTCAAGGCTGAATACGACTCTTCTGTACGTGAAGCGTCAGATGGCTCTATTGTCCAGTTCTTGTACGGAGAGGACGGTCTCGACATCACCAAACAGGTGCACTTGAACGACTTTGATTTCCTTGCTCAAAACCACATCTCCATTTCCAAGCAAGTCCAAGCCGATGATTACCACAAACTGGCCAAGGATAATGTTACGGATTGGCACAAGGATGCCATGAAGGCTGTCCGCAAGACTGGAAAAATTGATGCCATTGACCCCGTGTTGTCTCGCTTCCCCCCTGGAGGAAACCTCGGAAGTACATCTGAAGCGTTCGCCCAGGAGCTCAAGAAGGTATGGACTCGCTATCTCTCCCCTGTGAGTCTTTGCAATGCTAACAGTTTATGAAAATAGTATGCGGATGTCAACAAGAACAAGCTCATCAAAGACAAGAAGAAGAACATTGAGGGCAAGGTTACCAAGAAGACCTTCGAGGCCTTGATGAACATGAAGTACATGAAGTCTATCATTGACCCCGGTGAAGCGGTCGGAATTATGGCCGGTCAATCCGTCGGAGAACCTTCCACACAGATGACTCTCAACACCTTCCATTTGGCTGGTCACTCGGCAAAGAACGTCACACTGGGTATCCCCCGTCTGCGTGAAATTGTTATGACTGCAAGTGCCAAGATTATGACACCTACGATGACACTTCTTCTGAATGAGGAGATTTCCAAGGACGACTCGGAGAAATTCGCCAAGGCTATCAGCAAACTCAGCATTGCTGAACTTGTTGATAAGGTGCAAGTTAAGGAACGCATTGGCTCAGGCGTTGGCCACGCCAAGGCTAAGATCTACGACATCGAGATCGAATTCTTCCCGTCTGAAGAATACACCAAGGAATACGCCATTGAGACCAAGGATGTTCTGATTGCTCTGCAGTCTAAGCTCATCCCTCGATTGGTGAGACTCACTAAGGCCGAGCTCAAGAAACGCAATGAAGAGAAGAAGGGTGTCAAGGGCACAACTTCTCAGCCTGAAATCGGTGTTTCAGTCGGTAAGATCGCAGAGGCACCGCGAGGCGCCGACTCCGAGGCCCAGCCAGCCGACGACGACAACGAAGATGATGAGGACGATGCCAAGCGGGCCGCCGGAGCTCAGAACAGGGGCCACCAGGTCTCCTACGAAGGACCCGACGCCGCCGAGCAGGATATCATCAGAGACCAAGACTCCGACGAAGATGAAGATGAAGAAGCTGAAAGCACCAAGCCTGCCAAGCGCACTCGCGATGTAGAAATGAAGGACGCCTCTGGCTCTGACTCAGACGATGACTCTGATGACGAGACCGCCCAAGACAGCAAGGCGCGCGAGGAGGACGTCATGGGCAAGTTCGAGGAGATCACGAAGTTCAAGTTCGACCCGAAGAAGGGCAACACTTGCTCCATCCAACTGCAGTACGACGTCGAGACCCCCAAGCTTCTCCTCCTTCCCCTGGTTGAGAAGGTTCTCCACCTCGCTGTCATCCAGTGTATCCCCGGCATGGGCAACTGTGTCTTCGTTGA